GTTACAAAAGTGATTTCCAATTACAAATTCTATACTTAATAAAATCATTATATTGCTTGTTTATAAGTAATTTAAATTGTTAGTACAAAAGGTACTATAACTAGTAAGTTCTAAAAAAACTTTCCAGCATTATGGCGATCCTTTAAGTTCAGTTCTATTATTATCCTGAGAAATGGTTGTCTGTCAACGATTGATAAACGCAGCAGGTATTATCACTTTCACTGTGTTTGTGAATCCATTAACATTAACAGCGATTCGATATTACCTGATTCTGAGGGAGGAGTTAAAGGGTAGCTGATATCGACTTTCATTGCTTAAAACCTGTCGTCAAAACTGAAAACAGCTGATTCCTCGGTTTTCGAAGTGCCTAAGCTGAAGAACTATATCTGGAGCATCTCGATTCTACTTGAGCCGTCATTAAAAAAATTTTTATGTATCATTTCTAATGTAATTGCAGATTTTTATGATAAATATTTAATATAGTAGTCAATTAAAAGAGCATATTTCAGGATTGCAGTACGTAGAAAATATGCATATTAGTTTTCACTTCCATTTTCACTGGAAAATTTCAAAGGGGCTTAGATCGAGGCCAGTTTACGCTACACTGTGCGTAGTCTACATCAACCTTGTGTTACAATCAACTAACCGAGAATTGAATTATTATGAAATTTAATGCCAAACTCAGCTGTTTTTCACGTCGTCGCATTGCGTTCAGTTGGATCGATACTCCAAACCGGGTTTATCACCTTTAGTGAGTAAATACGCACCCGTGACGAAATAAGACGTCACGACGATCGAATCTCAGCGTGGCGCCAATTAAACAAATTTTAAAAGGTTTGCGACGAGGGCGAAGAAATTAATTAAAGACACTGATGACGATTCGTTTGCGTCACATACTTCCATGAACCTTCTAATAAAAATTCATGCAATGTTTCGTATAATGACTAATCTAATGTGCAATAGAATAATTAATATTGGCTATTTATTTTAAATAAAATTCCTTCATTTTTTTAAACCAAAATTCATTTTCCATGATCAGTAAATATAGGATAATGGTGCGTATGTGTACGTTAATCGTGTAAATGGATTAAGAAAAATAAGAAGAGGAAATGATCGGATATAATTGAATGAGGGAGAACGTGTTACGGTTGTTGATAGTTAATGACAGCGAGTTTTATCATTCTTTGACATCACTTGCATGTGTACGTGCGACTCTTCCGTCCATGTATTTTTCAGAACGCTTTTTACTTACGTAACACGAATAAGTAGTAGACTATGAACCTCAGACGAGACGTCGAATCGTAATTTACAATTGTATTGCACACTGAATCGTATAAATAAGTTCTTGCACTCTGAATAATATCTTTTATCGAGGATCGATCCGGTGTTTTAAAAAATCATTTTTCATTTAATCTAGGTCGACTGTTTTTACAGCTCATTTGTAGAATAGGGGTTCCTGGTAGTTTATCTCTTAATGGTATAATATACGACTGAGATTATGCCAAATCATTTTGTAAATAGTTCCTATTGTAAAGACGAGATTTATTTACTGTTTATATTCTATTGTTCTACGTATTTCTTTTTCAATCTTCTGAATCATCTTCGACATTCTCTGAAATAGAGTTCGCGGTTGCTGCCAAATATTTAACGTGTACGTATGTATAGAATTCTCAATTTTGCCAAATGTCTGCCGATACAAATTTAGTCATAAAAATATAATACCTTTGCTACCTAAAGTGTATTTAAAGGGCAGTTAGAATTTGTCTATGAAAACAATTTCTAATTTCATTTTTACTATTATGCTATAATGATTTTGTTATATGTGACCTGAAAATGATTGAGGTAATCTATACGTCATAGTTACACTCATAGTACATGCACAAGCAAATGGAGAGTGATTCGTTGGTCAATGACCATTCAATCAATTATCAATTTAATCCTCGTTTAACTCATGGTCAGAAATTTAAGAGACGTTTCACTGCCAATATCTTTCACAATGAAACTATCATAGTAAAACGTTAGCTATTAATATTTCTAAATCCAAAAAATGTTGCAAACCTGTAGATGTAAAAATTAATATTCTTGCATTGTTTATATGAAAGCGAATGGCCGGCGATGGAAATTGGCGAAGTAATTGTACATTTCGTTACGCAATTGCAAAAATAATCTCGCGAACTCTCGACCCATGAACTCCATCTGTATTTATGTTATTTTTCATTTTCTTAACTGTCGACCTCAAGGCCGGCATTAAATTATTTTCACGCTGACGTGCACAGCAAATTATGCACATAATATATGTAACACAACAAACACAAATATTTTAAGCCATGCATTTTCCTTTTTTTGCAGAATTTTATGTTCTACTTCCCTTCGACTACTTAATTCGTTTTCATAACTTTTCTACATAGATTTAATACAAATTTTATTATCTACCTAGCATTCCGATTAATTTATTTGCTTAATGCACACAAAGATCAGCACAGATCTAAGATTTACTGATACGTGCAAGGACAATCGGAGACAAGTAATATTTGAGCTTCACGAAGTTACGCGAATTCACTATGTAAAATGGAACTTGTTTATTTCAACTTCTTATTTGACGAATTATTACATGACAAATATTATTCAATCATTGAATTTCCTTACCCCATGAAAAAATTATTCCATATTAATTAAAAATAAAATACACGTGGTAACAATTCTTTTTGACAAATCTGGCTCTTGGCTCAAATCGTATGACTTAATGATTTAAAGATTGAAATGTCCAGAAGACATTTTATTGCCTATAATTATGATTTACTATCACCCGTAAATAATGCGCGTATAAGACTCGATGCTTCTGTTCTACGATAAGAGATAAACGCAATTCTGCAATAATGCAATTAACGTGGCTGAGACGAACGTTGGTGGAAATTGAATTTATAACCAGATATAAATATTGCAGCAAGTGTAAGTTTCCTGTTGCATTTAATATGTACATGTATAATTCTTTTTAATCATGATTTCGTTACTTAAGTTCGTCAGTGGAAGATGTAATTCACATGTGATTCAGTTGATAATTATAATTGATGACATGATAAGTCACGATTGAAACTTATGATTGATGACGTTAAACATTGTCCAGGTGCTTTAGTCAGTGAAAACAATTTTCAGGACAATGTTGAACGTTTGCAAATGTTAACAGTTCCTAATGTTAACCAAACGTGAAACAACGAGGACTGTTTTGAATTCTTTGTACGATAAGGCCTCGTTTAAACTGTCTAATTAATTATTAAAAAACGAGAACTGTTTGTTTCAGAAACACCGAACCGAAAACGTACCACCAGTCGACGTTGGACTGCCGATAACGAGTCAGAATCGTGCAGCCGTTTCGACAAATAAGACGTGAACGAACGAAGCAAGTGGACAGAAGTGAATAAATTATTTGAAACAACTGCATAATAATTAATCGTTTGAGAGCTGTAAAATATTTCTTAAAACTGGTGAGGAAAGTGACCGAAAGCTTGATGTGGGATAATAATATTTTTCTAATAAATATTTTAATACAGAATTGCACAAAGTCAAGAGTACATTTGAACTGATTTTGAATTTTTATATTAAAGTGCACAGAGTTTATAATACTTTATTAAATAAATTGAGAAAAGTGTAGTAAATTATTTTTAATTAAATTTCACAACGAAAATGCATTCATTGCGAAATGCGAAAATCGCGTTGGTCAGACACAGGAACATATTGCAAACTTACGATGTCGCGAGAAAGAGTTTCGGGACGGACGTCCAGTACAAACCCATCAGAAGCGTACTCGTCGCGAATCGGGGTGAGTATCATTCCTATTTCTTAATTAATCGATTTGCAATAATTATTTAAGCGCAGTGAAAAAAGGTCAAACACGTTTCATATTTTAATTTATTGAATAAAATTCCAAATTCGATTATTTATCTAGAATTACGAAATCAAGTATTCTACTTGACTTATCACAGATGATTGTATTTATAGAAAATACTTAATCTGCATCTGAAATAAAAAAAGAAAACAGATTAAATGCGTCATACTTATCACCTCTCGTATGATCTAAATTACGAAATAATTATCTACTACTAATAACTGAAAGTGACTCTTTAATACTCAGAACAGATACCCCAGAGGATAGTTTTTTTTACAGTAAAATCTCTCCAACTTTGTAATGTTAATTAATGCAAGCTATTAATATTTATCTTATCGAATTGTTTCACGTGAATTCGCATCTTATATTTTCACACAAACAACTCGATTGGTTTTTTCGTAAATAGCTTGATCAGTTTTTTACATAATTAATGTGACGGTCTTCCTTAGTTTTTTAATATAAGTTATAAAATTAGAGATAGATTTAGTTAAAAATAATCTTGTAAATACACAAGAGTAACAGATAATTTACTTAATTTGTCACTTCCATTGCTCCCATTTTAATATGATGCTCTATCTAATTACCCAAATTCTTATAATTCTGTATAATTTATATAATTTTCGTTGTATTAGAGCATGCATTGACCTCATCATTTAATTCTTGTCACTTCGAATTTAAAATCATTCTATTACCTGATCTATTATTGGATCACGACTTGATTATTATAGTCACTGACCTATTTAATACGATAAAATAATTTTAAAGAAAGGACTTCACACGTAAATATAAATCTGGTATTATCAATATCGTTCACAATCTTTAAAGTTAAAGTATTAATTATTAGAGAACTTTGTTTGCAAAGGCATGAAGTCGTCTAATAATAAATGGCACTGACCTCTCTGCCAGCTACTATACTTGTTTATGTACACTCATCTACGTGTCGTACAGTATTTTCCATTATTATTACCTAATTTATTAACAAATTCAGAGTTTTCAATCTACTCGTCTGATCAACTCAATTCTAGTATTTTAGTTTATTTTGAAATGCTAAAATTTAATTTTTTCGAAATTCATAAATACAGGCATTGAATCATTTTTTATTGATGATGATGATGAAAAATACAAATGACAAGTTTATTGATTTTCATTGTCTTTCAGTCAGTTTTCAATCTCACTGTACATGCAATATATATTGTGACACTATCATTAAACGACCTTTGGCAGCGATTCGATGGAAGCGTACTGCGGTACTAAAATGCAATCGGGACAAAATGATAACGACGTTACTCTTTTGTGTCTGAGTTCGATAACGATTCTATTCATTGACGGCCGAAGACGATTTATTAATGTGTACTTAAATGAATATTTCTCGAAGAAACTAATTGCATCATATCAATCTTCGTCTCGCAAGAAATTTAAATAGACGTTCTTCATTTTGTGCAAAATGAATGTAATAGTACGTTCATACTAGATATGAAAATATTTGCAGTATTATGTGACAAGATAGAAATTTCCAAGGCAGGCCTTATAAATTTTATACGTGCATTCAAGAGAAATTAAGAATTGAGATATTTGTTTAAATACATGAGTAACATTGCAGAGTATAAAGTTTTATATATAGCAGCTTCCTTTATGTATTTTGACTTCAACCCTTATTTAACATTTTCTCATGTTATCATTATTTGTAGGCGAGATCGCGATTCGAGTTTTCCGAGCATGTACCGAGCTCGGGATTCGGTCGGTGGCGATCTACTCGGAACAGGACAAAATGCAGATGCACAGACAGAAGGCTGACGAGGGTTACATTGTGGGCCGGGGACTACCACCGGTTCAGGCTTACCTGAACATACCGGAGATCATAAAAGTAGCCAAAGAGAACGACGTCGATGCCATTCACCCTGGATATGGGTTCCTGTCCGAGAGATCGGACTTCGCGGAGGCTGTGATAAACGCTGGGATCAGGTTCATCGGTCCCAGCCCCAAAGTCGTTCAACAGATGGGTGACAAGGTAGTTTTTATGAAATGCATTAATTTTATCATTCATTCATACAATTCTATTTCTTTAACTATATAATTGTATTCTTAGTAACAATGATTATATTTGTATTTTGTAACCAGTTTTAATTTGAACTAACAATTGGGTTAATTGTACAATGATTAAATGTGAAATGGGATTAATTAGTAATTATTAATTAGGTAGCTGCTAGACAGGCTGCGATAGAGGCTGAGGTACCGATTGTCCCGGGGACGGATGGACCAGTGACCACTTCCGACGAGGCTATGGAATTCTGCATGAAGCATGGGCTTCCAGTCATCTTCAAGGCAGCTTATGGTGGCGGTGGAAGAGGTAGAATCATTATCTATTTTAATAATAATTTAAATTCATTCAAAATTATAAAATTTTATCATTTCACTATTACTTTATATGAAACAATTGTTTCGTTTTATTATTTAATACAACAAATGGATATTTTTAGGTATGAGGGTAGTCAGGCAAATGGAAGAAGTTCGGGAAATGTTCGATCGAGCGTCTTCAGAAGCTGCGGCCGCGTTTGGCAACGGGGCTATGTTTATCGAGAAGTTTATTGAGAGGCCCAGGCACATAGAAGTACAATTGTTGGGTGATAATGCTGGGAACGTAGTCCATCTCTACGAACGCGATTGCTCGGTGCAACGACGTCATCAAAAGGTCAGCCAAATAGAGAAGTAAATAAGGATAAATAGAAAAATAACTGGACCGCAAATTTTTATCAAATTTATCTATTCATGGATAGTCCGTTTAAAAAATCCATAAAAATAAAATTTACTTAATTTAGTACAATTTATTAATTAACAGGTAGTGGAAATCGCGCCAGCGCCGAGATTGGACATAAAAGTTAGGAACAAGATGACCGAACACGCCGTCAGACTGGCGAAACACGTTGGCTATTCGAACGCGGGCACAGTCGAATTTTTAGCAGACGAGTCAGGCAATTTTTACTTCATCGAAGTCAATGCTAGGTTGCAAGTCGAGCACACAGTCACAGAAGAGATAACTGGGTAATTATCATTTTTCAATCATTAAGAGTTCTCTACGTTTATTAAAAACAATTTTAATTATCATATTTTTGTTCTATACATATTATTTTTACACATCTGCATTTTAATATCGTTATATCACGTTTGCTTGTATTATCTGTTTTCGAAAATTTTCAGAATCGATCTGGTGCAATCTCAGATAAGAATAGCCGAAGGCATTACGCTGCCTGAATTAGGACTGACCCAAGACAAGATCGTTCCTCAAGGATTCGCGATACAGTGCAGAGTCACTACTGAGGATCCAGCGAAAAACTTCCAACCGGATACCGGAAGAATAGAAGTATTCAGATCTGGAGAAGGTATGGGAATCAGATTGGACGGAGCCTCGGCGTTTGCTGGTGCGATTATCTCGCCATACTATGACTCTCTTCTGGTCAAGGTAACAACTGACTTGTTATTTGTTTCTGCGTTCGATAAAATCGATGATTTGATAAATCCTGATAATCATATTTGATTTAATCATCGATTCTCTGATTGACTCAAAATAACAATAATTAATTAATGATTTTTTTATATGCATAAATCATCAAAAATTAAAAACTGTTTAAAGATAGATTGCGTTGCTCTATTTCTAGGTAATAGCTCATGCGGCAGATCTGCAATCGTCTTGTGCAAAGATGAACCGAGCGTTGCGAGAGTTCCGAGTCCGCGGGGTGAAGACGAACATCCCCTTCCTATTGAACGTCCTTGAAAACCAGAAATTCTTAAACGGGAACGTGGACACGTATTTCATCGACGAGAACCCGCAACTGTTCCAGTTTCAGCCTAGCCAGAACCGTGCACAGAAACTGTTGAATTATTTAGGATCAGTTTTGGTGAATGGGCCTAGTACACCCTTGGCGACGAATTTGAAACCGGCTGAGATTAGGCCCCACATTCCGCAGATCGCTTTAGGTAAAGAATGACAGGAATGTCGACCAAATACGGTGATTCACTGATTTTTTTAATAAGATATTTTGAATATAATGACTATTAGGCAGACAAATTAATTCACTTTTTCTATGAATTGTCCAAAAAATTAATATCGTTTATTAAGAATAATTACGAGTTTAGTGTCTTAAAAATAATAACAAATTGCTTTAAATTAAAGATACGATTTCTGTGCTACTTTATAGAAACAAATTGTATTTCATAAGATTTATTGGTTGAACGCGTAAGGGAAATGAAATGGAAAATGAGTAGTGCGAGCAAATCTTTGAGTCACCGTGCATGGAGTAACAATAACGAATCGTTGATTCGATTGAATGGGTAAGATCAATCTGTCTCCCTTTTTTGGGACGAAAGCACGAAGGGGTTTGCTTTCAATGTGAATCAAAATTGGGTACTTCTCGAACTCTTTTCTATTCTATCTGTCTTGTTTTTTTTCACGTGATTGTGTTCAATTAACACAATTTTTTTAATTTTCTTTCTCTTCACTTTCCTTCCGTTTATCAGCATGCTTTTTACTTTTTTGTTTGCCAATTTTTTTTATAGACTTTGCTAGGCTTGCAGCCGCCGAAGACAGCAATGATCCAGATGCACCAGGTATGCTTCTTCATGATTATAATTTTTTCATCGTCAGCATCATCTGCATTAAGTGACAACGTAAAGGGGAAATTAGAAATGGAAATGAATAAGTAGGTTATTCAAAATTCGATAATTTCATCATCGTTCACATTTCGTTCGTTTGCAGACACGTGAATTCGATTGGAATTCGAAATTTACAATTGGCAATTGGAATCGGGTTTGTAGAACACGTAAATAGATATTTTCTTGTGGGTCAGAGTACTTGTCCAAATTAGATAGTAGTTTCTTGTAGAGGACGTCAGTGCCTACAACTTTTGTATAAAAAATTTTTCGCTAGCGTCAATAATTAATTAATAAATAAAATTGTTTATTGCAAAAGATTTTTCTACGTCCTAACGAAAAATGTTTTAGACAAAAGTTGTAACTCTAGCTGTCAGCTACAAATGTTACCCACTGCGTTCTGAGCCTCATTAGGCCCCATTCGCTATCCCAACAATTACACGATTACACTGTTTAATATTATCTCCTCGGTGCACCTTTTATGTTAATGGGTAACAATATTGTTCCGTTTATGTTTAAAACTGATGTAGTGTTGCACTGAATTTTATGAATATGGATGCACTTATTAATTGAATAATACAAGGGGTAGAAATAGAATTAGCGAACAAAAATGTTGTAGATATTAAAC